AAATTTCTAGGTTGTTCTTGTTTTAGATTAAATAAATATGAAGAGTCTCTTAAAAATTTTAAAAATTTATTAGAAATTGAACCTGGTAATGCGATTATTCTGAAATTTCTAGGACAAGTTTATTACAAACTAGAAATGTATAAAGAATCTATTAAAAGTTTAACAAGTTCATTAGATTTTAATCCAGAAGACTTTGATGCATTAAGAATTCGAGGACAAGCATTTTATATGCTTGGAAATTTTGAAAACTCTCTTGAAGATTTTACGAAAGCATTAAATATAAATCAATGTAATGCATTTGCATTAAGATTTCGAGGGCAAGTATATTATTATTTAAGAAATTATGACAAATCCCTTGAAGATTTAACGTTATCATTAGAATCTGAGAACAATAATGCATTTGCATTAAGAATTCGAGGACGAACATATTACAAATTAAAGCGCTATAAAGAATCTCTCGAGGATTTTTCTAAATTATTGAATATTGATCCAATTGATGCGGAGACATTAGGATATCGGGGACTGGCTTATTTTAAGTTAGAAAAATATGAAGAATCCCTTAAAGATTCAACAAATTCATTAAAAATTGATTCAAGAAGTACTATTGCACTATTGGTTCGAGGACTAGCTTTTTTTGAATTAGAAAATTACCGTGAATCAGTAGAGAATTTGACAAAGTTACTGGAGATGGATCCAGAAAATATTGATATATTAAAAGTTCGGGGCCAAGCATATTATATGCTCAGTAATTTCGAAAATTCTCTCAAAGATTTAAATAAAGCATTGAGTTTAGACCAAAATAATGCAGAATCCCTAAGATATCGAGGACTAGTTCACTATTATTTGGAGAAATATAACGAGTCAATTGAAGATTTAACAAAATCATTAAAAATAGAACCAAATAACCCATTTGCACTAAGATATAGAGGGAAAACTTATTTTACATTAAAGCTCTATAATGAGTCTCTTGCGGATTTAAGCGAATCGTTAAAATTTAAACCGAATAATGCAAATGCGTTAATGTTTCGAGGAAAAACGCATTTTATGTTAAATAACTATGAGGATTCTCTTACAGATTTAGCTAAATCTTTAGAAATTAGTTATGATACAGATGCATTGAAATGTCGAGTTCAAGTTTATTGTAAGTTAAAAGACTATAAGAAATCCTTTGCAGATATAAATCAATTGTTGTTAATAGGAACAAAAAATAAATTTTCATATACGAGTAGAGAGTATAAATCTTCTTTTGAAAACTTAGTCAAGTCCTTGAATATTGACTCAAATAGTATTGAAGTATTAAGATCCCTAATACCAAAAATATAAATTTTTTTGATGTTCTGAAGTAATTAGAAAATGCAGAAAGCGCAATACACAAAGCTTAGTATTTTATAATTCTATACTATAAATCCTATCGTTTTGCTCAATGAAAAAATTTTCAAATTAACACAAATATGAGTGATTATAATAATAGGATAATATATATCATCTGTATCTAGACATGCCCTAACTTTATGTATCGTTAAAACTAAATTCTTTTTTATATAATTTACATATTGATGAGTTTCTTAAAGGATAATCAAATGTTAAATTTTATTTATTTAATTTTTATTTTATTATAATTTACATATTGATGGTTTCTTAAAGGATAATCAAATGTTAAATTTTGTATCGTTAAAACTAAATTCTTTTTTATATAATTTACATAGTGATGAGTTTCTTAAAGAATAATCAAATGTTAAATTTTATATATTAATTTTTATTTTATTAATATTTTATATAATTTACATATTGATGGTTTTTTAAAGGCAAATGATAAATTTTATATTCGTTAAATATTTAATTTATTTTATAAATATTTTAAATAAAGATTTGAGTTCAATAGCTCAGCGATTAAGTTCCCAAACCCTACAGATTAGGTTAATACTTTGAGACTAGTTGAAGGCAAAAAAACTTCTGTAACTTGAATAATAAAAACTAGTAATAAATCATGAATCTCTGTAGTAAATTCTAAGTACAAATCTGAAATAAAGTTTTTAAAAAATAACTATCTTATAAGTGCGCATCATGCGTATATGGAATGATGCTGCGGTTGCCCATGATTACTTTATAAGAGGGAAATAAGTTTCGAAAATATGAAAGCATTGAAGAGTGAAAATACTGGAGATGAAAAATGTAAAATGATGTACCGAACTCGAATTTTCGAACTGAACACGAATTATCTTTAAAAGTTTAGCATTTAGTTCAGGTTCAGTTCAAAGTTTGGAACCGGTTTTATTTTTCACACGTTAAAACCGGTTTTAATAGGTTTTAACATATGAAAAATAAAACCAGTTCCAAGCTCTAGATCAGTTCGGTTCGGGTTCAGTTTAAAATTTGAATTGAACTCGAACTTGCCTAAAATTTAATTAGTTCAGGTTTGGACAAACCAATTTTACCTCAAGGAAACCAATGCTTGAAAATAAAAATAAAGTATTTGCTCTAGTAATACCTTAAGGCTGAATTATATTAGTTTCGATCAACTCACCAACAGTCGTTCACCGAATGTTCACTTAGCCAACATTACATAAGATTAGGGTTAAGCATTTGATCAGTTACAGGTATATATTTTTACTAAATTTTACTTGCATGATGTCGGCTAAATGAGCTGTCGGTAAAGTAATACGACCTGAATTGTATATGATCCTGAAATCTGGACTCCTAACTTAATAACCCTAATCACACGATCAATACCTCTTACTATTTAGTGTGTGTTTAGATAATATTCGTGCGATCCTTGTCCGGACCGCATTGGTCTCGGAGTCGTTCCCCCTTAACAACACCGATGAAAAAAAACTTTTTTATATTATTGATTTTAATTACCATCATCGAAATAATAAAATTATTAAGAAAATCATTTTATGTCGTAGATGTTGCAGAAAATTTGAAATAACTTTTTGAGACGCATTTTTTTTTTTTTTTAGGGCTAGGTAATAAGTACAGGTGGGGCATACATTTTCGATCGAGACCCTTAAATTTCAATATAATTCGCAACGTTTTTTCACAGGGATTTTTTTAAAAACAAAGTAAGTGTTATTTATTATTGATTGAAGTTATAAAGGCCATTTTGTTGAAAAATTACCCATTATCCGGCAAACTCTTATGATCATGAATTGCCATCTGTCTTGTTATTTTTTTCACGTGTTACGATGTAATCATATTTATTCAAATTAAAACTCAGTCGATGACTCCCTACCAATCATGATCATAAATTGCCGGATAACACCAATATTGGGCAATATGTCGAATACGATAATTTGGCTTAACCGGGAAAATGATTGGCACTGTGACATCCAGTGGTAGAGACTTTCTTATATCAATACCAATTTAACTCAGGGACATCAACATTAAAAGAAGAAAGCAAGTATTTATTATATTTGAACACGTCAAGAAAAATAAGCAAAATCCACAACTGAGTAACCAACGTCCTCTATTTTTTTCCAAGTCAAAGAGGTACTCTCAGAGTACTATCCACAAATCCAACTAAGAATCTAACTAATCAAGTAACTAACTAAACTACTAACCAAGAATATTCAAGGATTTCCCTCCTCTTATATTCCCTTCTCTTGACGACTATTATGCAAGCGATTACTAACACTAATTACTTTCGACTATTTAATGATTACATAATTTATGCACTTGTACTAAGAGGTGAGTGAAATTTTGTGTATCTAGTACGTACTAGAAAAAGACTGAACAACTTATACAAAAAATAATTATAACTGTGTTATTAGTCAAATTGTGACCTACAATCATTAATCTCATATGTAGCAGATATGCGTTATGCATGGCCGAAGGCCACGCACAACTGGGGTGCACTGTCAATTATGTAAGTCAAAACTATGTGTGGTATTATTTAAAAATTAATTATTGAAGAATTAGTGATCGGAATTATTTATCACTTTGTAAATGTATTTTAATAGTAAAAGTAAAGAATGACTTGAATGTTTTTAGATGTCTAGAGTGAAGTGCTTTACTTTTTTCAATGATTTTAGCATAAATCTATTCTTAAACACGTTATATAACAAGATACGTTAAAAAATTTAGGTTCTAGTATTAATTTTTTTGCCTGCAACGAAAATATTTCTTTTTTTAATAGTTCACAAATTAAACAGAATTTTTGTAAAGAGTTGACTTGAAATTTAAATATTAACATTAAATAAATTTTGTTATAAACACATTTAAGAATAAGTTAATGCTAAAATAATTGGAAAAAGTAAAGCGATTCGCTCTAGACATCTAAAACAATTCCAATCATTCTTTACTTTTACTATTAAAATACATATACAAAGTAATAAACAATTCCGATCACTAATTTTTCAATAATTAATTTTTATATGATACCACACATAGTTTACAAGTCTTATAAAAAATCTCAAATATTTAATTTTATATGATACACACATAGTTTTGATTTATATAGCCCACAGCGCATCCCAACGCACGACGCAGTATTTCTAGTAAATAATTTATTAATACAATCAATAACAAGTACTCATGTGAATAATAAAAACCAATAATTTTAAATAATGATACCGGGCCACATACTCTAGTTGTGCCAATAATAATGGCAAGGCCAGCAATAAAACCAATAATAGAACCAATAATAATGGCCAATTTATTGTTATTGTTATTATCGTTATTATTATTGGCGGTATAAGTAGAGATGGAAATATTTTCAAATTGCGTCACCCATGTGTAATTTGAAAGATTCATTAAATATATATTAGCTGATGTATTAGTTGAAGGTCCAGAGTCGTTGGTGATGTTACCTATATATATAATTTTTTAATATAAATAAAAAATAATAAATCAATAAAAGTATACGTGAAAGGACAACTCTTATTCTTTTAGACACGCTTCATGGAAGACCTGACTAAGATTTGCTAGCAATTTCTATTTAATTCTGTATTATATTATGAAAAACAATCATACTTATATAACTTTATTTATGTTATAGGACGTCATTGCCAAAAATTTTGATGCTGATGTTTTTTTTTAAAAAAAAAGGTGGCATTAAAAGCAGAAGTGATCGCATAATTAGGCAAACTTTTTAAAAGAAATTGGAGATTAATTTGGCAAAACGTCCTATAATTTTGACAAAACTATCTATGTTATCAATTTGTTCAATATGGGTGATTTAAAAAGCATATAATTATATAGCAAATCGTAAGAGGTTTTCCTATGAAATACGTAATTGCGCAATGACCTATAATTATTGGATGAGCATGAATCATTACCAAATGCTACGATCATATAGCTTTGATAAAGCGTTGCTGTATGGTATGATAATGGAGGAGGTGATATACCAGAAGGTTGAGGACTTGAATATTGAAAAGTTTCAGAACTAACATCTAGCAATACAAAAACCGGATATGATATAGTCTGATTAAGTCCGTAACTTTGACATCCCCCTAAGATTACTATAGTGTGATTATCGGGTGCTTTAAATCAAGTAAATGTATGTATGCATATAATATTAATTATAATTATAAATATAAAATTATGCATCAAATATAAGTTCAATAATTTACCTAGGAGAGCGGTGTGTCCAATACGAGGATCAATCTTCCCCACAGCAGACTAAATAATAGTTAATTTATTAAAAATTTCAAGGAAATAAGAATTTATTAAAAATTTCAAGGAAATAAGAATTTATATGAAGAAATCATAAGTACCTTTTGCGACCAAGCTGATGCAATAGTATCAAAAATATATATCTGAATAAAAGGTAATAGATTTTTTATATTGCAATGATAAAGTGTTTTGATTTAGATCAATATAGAAGTCATGAATATGGACATTTGAAATTCTTAGTTTAATGATCAAAATAGATACGTCTAATTAAGACTAATCGAATGATATAAATCACTCGATACAGACCACATTACATTATCTATCTTATGTAGCATTATAATTTTAAAATTACTCACTTCATTCATGCTTATACGAGTTGCAGGTTCACCAGGGATAGATTGAGTAACACCACCTATGTAAATAATTTTTCCATCAGGCATCAAAGTTGCCGTTGCATGACTTCGTTTATATGGATGATTAGGAAGTGAGGTGAGATTTGTCCATTTCAATAATAAAGTATCAAACGTAAAAAATTCATCGAATATTGTAAAAACTTCTGATCCAGTATCCACTTTCACTCTTCCACCCAAAATAAAAATCACTCCATCTTTATTAATAGTTGTTGCAGTGGATCTACGCATGAGAAGTGGTGGTCCATTAGTTCCTGGCCCAGGAACGTCCCATGTTTGAGAATTTATATTATAAAGCCAAAGGCTAGAATTTGTTGCATTATAGGCAAATGTTGTCATATTCTGTTGGTGTAGTTATGAATTGGAGCAAAAAATGTAATCGATCAGTTGAATATTTTAAAAAAATTAACTAATCGATTAATCGGGTAGTTGATTAATCGATTAGCTGTTTAGTTGATTAATCAATTGACTAACTATATATATATATTTTAATATAATTTAGTTAAAATCAATATAATTTAGTAAAATTAATATAATTTTAATTTAAACTAATTTAATAAAATACAAGGGATGTTATGTGATCCGGTCTAAACTTTCGACCATTCTAAAGCTAAAAAACATTGGTTTGCTTTCAGTTTTAAGACCAGACCAACTGTAGACTATTAAAAACCGGTTCAAAATAGACCAGGCTGGACCTATCTAATACTAATAGCACAGCTTCCGTTTTTACAACAGATACATAAATGGAAAGAAATTATATTCATTTCTGAAGATGATAGAGATATTGAAGAAGGAAATTATTATAATGATATTAAAGATATTTAAATTCAAACTATTAGTTAAAGAAAAAGATAATAACATTTCTAGCAAAAGTTTAAAAAAATGTAGAAATTGGAAATCGGTAATCACTAATCATTGATCATAATCGATTATTATTTTTTTTTTTGATAATTTTGCAAACCGCAATAATTGATTAGTTGCAACTCAGCCAACTAAATAATGAATTGATTTTCGATTCATATCACTACCTGTTGGACTCCACCAACGAGGAAAATTCGTACACTAGTTCCCAATACTGCTGTACCTTTCTCATTACCAAACGGCATTCGAGAGATTGCGGAAAGATCTGTGAACGGAGGCGAATCAATAATAAACGGTTTAGAAAGATCCAAATAGAATACCTCGTTTGAGAGGTTAAATTGGCGAATTGGATTCAACACAGATGAAGTTTTAGGTATAGGTCTTGAACCTCCCATGAAATAAATTTTGTCATTGACCAAAATTGCCGTGTGCCCACCACGTGGATCAGGAGTGAACGAACGAATATTAAGAAAATTTAGCGATAAAATAAAAATTATGCTCAATGGAGAATATAAGTTTTTAAAATTCGTGGTCAGCATATCTAAAATTACTTAAATTCATAGTTATAAGGTCGAAATAGTTTTGCATGATTAATATAGTAATTATTATAAGATGAACATAATTTAAAATTTGATACAGTGTTACGATGAACAATGGTATTCTGGAAAAAAGTAGATACTGAAAAAATCGAATTTGTAATTTAATTTGAAATAAATGTATTTGCATATTTCCGTTACACAAGTGAATTTTCTTATTTGTTTATGTTTAAAACATAGTTGTTAATAATAAGCTTGTTAATTAATGGATAATACTCTGTGTGTATAAGTGGAACGAAATTTCGTCGATGCCGTAAACCATGTAAAATATTTATTGGCTTATGCAAAAGTTGCATATGCTTAGCATTGGGACTTTATATTGCGATTTACGGTCAAGGATATTATTAAAGACGTTACTCATTTTGATTCTTGCAAGTTTATTCACACAAAATTAAATAGAAATGCTTTTCTCATAGCAGTACCCACTGTTTAGTTCCAGGGAGTGTCACGATTATCTCATAATCAACCTAAATATATCGACACTAGTAGATTTGACATTTTAATATTTTAACCTCAATTCCGACGATAATAAGTTTGACTCAAAAGGATACAGCTAGATTTCCTATAACTCGATCTTTCTATATTTCTAAATACAATCTTAAATTTTAGAAATATGCTGTTAACCGATGACCCTCAATTTAGAATTTATAAGTCGGAAATAATAAACTCATGCTTAACCCCAATAGTTGATTTAAGGAAGCTTATGTATATCGATATGGTGGTTTATTGAATGACAATGAAACCTAATACAAATCTCCAGGATTGGCATATTGCTGCCTGCCCGATAAGATCCGGATTTTTTGTATTGATAATAGGTTTGGCCAATCATTTTATTATCTAAGTAAATTATGTGACCAAAACCATATCTTTTTTAATCAAGAGAAATAAGATTTGAATCATGACACAACAAAATAAAAACTCAATAGTTTGTTACTGTGTATCAATATATATAGATTTAGATGTAACAATATATATAGATTTAGTATATCGTGTTACATCACTTTGTACCGGTACGTACCAGTCGGCCGACATGTCGTTTACAATTGCAGACTTATTGATCAAATTAATTGACGTACTTAAATTTTATAAGTA